AATGTAATTTTCAAAAAATTATGCCTACATACTTTTATCCGTAAAGTTTTATGACTCACCATGTATGGTTCCACCACTAGTAAAATATTTTGATTCTTCTATATTTTTAAGTAAATCATAAATCTCAATATGATTAGGAGTTTAAAGCCAATGTTTTATTTAAAGCCCCCAAATAGCAATTTTATTTCAACCTTTCTATTCAACTGTGTGTATTCATTCTCGCCAGAAGTAGAACATATTGTGTCAATTTTTATAGCATTACATAAATGCCCACAAGTTTTCAGAACATAAGTCTGATTCTATAGAAGAAACAAATAAAATATCCTTTCTGGGAATGTTTGTGGCATACTTTAGGCATGGAATTTGAAGTGTCAACAGTTGGCAAAAGAGGAAAAAAGAGTCTTCTACTGGGCCAGATATAAAAGTTCTGTCCAGACTTGATTCACATTCTTGAACTGCTGCTCATTTGAAGTTTTCACTGTGAGTAGAGATGGCATGAGGAAGCGCAGTCTTGTAATAATTGGGCAGATCATGCAGTGTCACGCTAGCTGCTATTTGGTACAGATGTGCTCTTTGGTAGTCACTAAAAATAACAAAAGTTAATATATATTCTCTGCGAAAAACTTTCAGTATCCCTAACTTGCTGTTCTTGTTAGGAATTTCTAATGGAGAAAAGGGATGCTTTTCAAATTAAGGTTCAAGCCTTAGAAGCTAGACTTATGAAATATTCAACAAGAAGAATCCTCTGTTTTTAGATTCATCTAAAGCCTCCCAGTGTTTGAACCTGTTTTGCAAAGGTCCATAAAGCCTCCCTTTTGGGCATGAATCTTCTGACATATACATTTAATTATGTACATATATGGTGTGTTCTATCTCTGTAAAAGGATGACTTCAACAGGTAGGTATGTGTCTGAAGAATTAGTTTCTGGGCGAGGCACTTTGTGACTATTCTTGGTCTGGAAATTTTGCTCTCACCTGAAATTAATGATCTTGAAGACAAAGATGGGTAGAACTGCAATTTCAAAAGCCTTTTAGGACTTTGCTGATGTTTGCAAACTTGAGCAACTAAGAATCCCCAAAGCAGACATACTCTAGTCTGTACCAGAACAAAACCCTTCAACTATATGTTTTTGCTGGAGGAGGGGGAGATAACAATTTGAATATGCAATGTGGTTTTTCTTTTAATAATAATGAATTTTCCTGTAGTTTTCCCTTTGATGGTCTGGTAGGTTACTTAGAAAGGACCATGAAACAGTGCTGTGGGCTTAAAAGTTTCACAGAGTACAAGAGAGATGCTGGCATCTCAGAATTTCCATATGCATGAAGCCTGTTCCAAATGCTGAGGAAAAAGTTTTATTTGAGGAGCAAAGCTCAATGCCCAGATTTATTAGACCTTAACTGTAGTGCATTCTTAGGTCCTTGAGTACAGACTGCATGCACACAGTACCTACTATGTAGTGCAGTTAAAGTTTAATACTTGGCTACATAGTAAAATATGTTCAGCTCTCTTTCACGTGTTGTGATTATACAGTTAGCAGCTTGAAAGCTTTTCATGTGTATCTTTAAAAAAATAGTCTATAAAAGCTTTGTTACTTGGCTTCATGTGGTGTTGGACTACTTTTCCTGGAGGAATGCAGGAGTCAGGGCAGGTGTGGTTCCTGCTTTCTTGACTTACTTTTGCCCCCCTTCCTTGGATGTCATTTCTGCTTCGTTGTGGTGCTTCTCACTTACATGGGCATTCCTGGGATTCCTCTTCCTCTTCTCTTGGCTTAGGAGGGAGCCTGCACAGGCCTGGGACTACCAGGCCCTCTCCAGCTTTGCTTTGCATTCTTTGTGCAGTAGCTTGGGCTTCATAGGAGAGAATTCAAAGTGGTTAAGCTCAGAGTAAACACTGTAAAGTTACACAAGACTTTTTTTTCCCCTGAAGTTCCTCTTTAGCTGATGAATTGTTAAATCTTTCCTGGTAGGATGATTCTTTTATAATTCTGTATCCATTTTGTTGCTATGAAAAAAAAAAATAAAGGCAATAGTTTCCTCTACCTCCCCAAAACAAAACCTTAACTTATCAAAAACTAAAATGAAAAGTTTTTTATTTTATTATTTGTAATGTCGAGTGAATCTTATTGTCCGTGGTCAGACAAATTATACTTAAACTAATAAATGCAGGGATCAGTTTTATTAGTACCCTTGGACACTCTTGATGATCCAAAAGCAGCACATTTATTAACAGAAGTAATAGTACCAGATCAAAGTGTCATTGTTAATTAGATCTTGTGAAAGCCTTTAAATTACCTGTTCATGCCCACAAGCCCCGAGGTTTATTTCTCATGAACCTTTCCACTACATATGTATTGTCATTCAGACTGTTAAACCAAATAAAAACAAAAGCAAAAACCAATTTCCATGAGAATTTGGCTTAGCTTAAGAAATCTGTTTCACTGAAAAATCATGCTGGAGTCTAAATTTTGCAGATATTTGCACACGCTCACTAAGCACAGAAGCTGGCTCAGTTGATTTCTGCAAGCAGAGTCTCCAGCCTGTGACAGAGGGCTGAACACAAAGCCAGATCTCCTTTGTGGCTATAAAATGGGTGGGGGAGGGGAATCAGCCTACAGAGGGTGGGCTGTTCTCTGCAGCCAGCCATGTGGTGACCTGGATGTTCAAATCATTTCACTGGGTTTTTCTGGTAGTCCCAATTTTAATTAAATGACTTTTGTCCCCTTTGGATTTTTTCCACCACCTTTCCTAATTCTTGCATTTGGAAAAGGTGGTCTACAATATCATATAGTCTTAAGATGCCAGACTAAGGGGGCATATGCTCATATCTTACAACATCCTGTCTTGAAGAAGTGAGGTACCCGTAGAGAGTTGTCCTCAAGTTCAGGTCCCCTTGAGACTGGAAGGTATCCAGAGAGTTATCTTTCCTTATGTGAATAACTTCCAAGAAAAGGAGAATTCCTGAAGTCTGGTTAGGTTTTGGACAGCCCTGTCCACAGTTTTGACTATGGGTCTAGAGTCAGGTCATCTTTTGCTAACTCTCAAAAGCAGTAGAAACCCTCCTAAGACATGGCCTGTGTTTACATTTCCACTCTGTGATCTAGAATTTTCTGACTATTTGGAAAGAGATGCCCTGATGCCTTCAGCAGGAGCTATGTTAAAGTCATAAAGACCGCCTGCATTTCCGCATTACTATAGAGATACCAATATATCCATAAATACTGTTAAGCTAGCTCATTTCTGCTGTCTCTCAAAAATGGGTGAACTGTTTGTGAATTATTCTTGTAACCTCACATTTCTTTAAGTGGTAGCCACAGGTTGTCATTTTCAGGGATGGCCTCATTTTGATGATTTTAATATTTAAATGCTTCTACTTTTTAAACTTTAAAACTTATACTCTAAGTTTTGAGGAAATATCTTTCAGTTGTCAGGCTCTGGCTTATTCTCACTTTTCTTCTTGATTCCTGGGACACTCTTCCTTGGTTGCAGACACATCTAGTTCAAGTTACTACTCTGTACCCCTAAAAGCAGCTGGTGAGAAAGCCAGTTTTGCCTGGGTTTCCATAGTCAATGTCTGAGACCCAGATACTGTGGACATGAAATGGGGTGTCCTAACACGGTGACTTCTAGGTAACAAGAACAAGGTTCTGAAATTTTTGATTTTAATAGAAGTATAAAAGATGATTTTAAAGCTTTTTTCCCTTCTCCTGCCTTTGACTATTGAGGTTTTGATTCATCAGGGGACAACATGTCATGTTTTTCTTCTGGAAATGGAAAATAATGTTAAAGTGAAAGAGAGTTTCAAAAAGACTTTGGAGGCTTTCAGTTTTCTTTCTTTGCTCTGGAGTGAAATATGTATGTGCATACGTGTTTGCTTGGTGAGCTGGTTTTCATGTGAGGTTTGTGAAATGTCAGTAGACTGAAAGCAATTTCTTTAAAAAGTAGCAATCGGCAAGCTGTATTTAATTTTATAGCCACACCGCTTTGTAATTACCGGCCTCGTTTAATTACCCATCCTTCAGAATTCTTAAAGGAGTAAAAGAAATTTCTTAAACGACCAGAGAGTTCTGTGGTTAAATTAAACTGTCTGGTGGCATGAACTTTTCGTGTACCCTGGATTTGACTCAAGCCAGGATCCTTGTATTGTGCCTCAGCATCACTCTTGGAGGTGGATCTGTGTGGGAAAATGATGTGATCCAGCATGGAATTTATTGCATTCCTTGTTTATAACAGGAAGAAAGCCTGTATAGGGTCTGGGAATAAGTTTAAGTCAGTAATCTCAAAGGTCAAAGACCTAACCAAACTTGTAATTTAGAGATAAGAGGCCATTGGATTAGTGTGGTCCTCTTTGCTAGGTTGAACCTACCCGGCTCCTCCCCCTCTTGCCCCTGTCTGAATATCAGGCAAATCTTGTGTTTTGGACTCCTTTCCAGGAAGTGGGCTCTATTTAAGATGCTTGCTAGCACTCAGATTTTAACAAAATTGACACCACCACCACCGTAATCCCAGTCAGTATTTCCTGATCCTTTATTAAATGCCAGGCATTACCTGGGTGTTTTTTTAAATCCCAGATAGACATATTGTCATCCATCTTCATTTTATGAGTGACGAATCAGAGCACAGACACCTGAGGCTACCTGACTCCCTCCCACTTTCATGGTGGAGGTGGATTTGCACATAAGGACACCTGGCCCCAGGTGCCACCCCACTTCATCCAGGTGCCTTCAGCCTCTAGTCTTTGAACTGTGTAGATTTCACTTTAAGATCCTGGTCCTACTCTCTGATTCAGGTCAGATACATGTGAATTGCCATTCATCTTCTGATAGAAATGAATGTACTACTTACAGGGCTTTTGTATATTTGTTTGCCTTTCTTTCCCAAGAATTAGGAGTGGTGCCTCAAAATGACAGTTGAGGGATTTAGGTCAAAAGCAGAGAGTTAATGTATGACAAACACAGGGGACTTTAACCTGAAACTTTTGTTTGTCTTTTGTTTCTTCTCAGGTTCTCCTTACTATGACAACGTCCGCCCCCTCTCTTACCCAGATTCTGATGCCGTGCTGATTTGCTTTGATATCAGTAGACCAGAGACCCTGGACAGTGTCCTTAAAAAGGCAAGTGCTGGGAGTGGGTGACACAGTTCTGTGCTAAGCAATCCTAAAGCAGAAACCTGTGGTTGGCTGGGGAGCTCCAAGACTCTAATTAGTTCCTTACCTTATATTTTGTAATTAAAACACCAGAAAAGCTACACCAAAACAGGCTTCCCACATGTATGCGTCACTATTTTTGATAATACATCTGCTTGAATTTTTTTTTCTCATAAAGTTCTGAGACAAAATATCCTTTAAAACTTTTCCATCTTTCCTCTTTCTTTCAATGGTGCATCTCAAAATGGTTATATTTGAGTACTATCATTTATCTTCCTTTCTTCTCCTTTTTTCATTTACCAGACAGATTAAGCCTTAGATTATAGATTTATATTTGACCTCAGTTTAGGTATTGAACTGAATGCAATAGTAAGATACTTTAATAAAGAAGCCATGTTTCCGTCATGATTTTATCTATTAGAAACAAAAATGGGACTGGTATAGGAGAAATATGGGTATGTCTCCAGACATGGGACAATGTGAGTTATGATTAGGTGTGTCAGATCCTAATCAAGACAATAGTTGTAAACACATTGTACATTATCACATTTCCCAGTTTCTGGAGGCAGAGATAAGGCAGATTCTGTAGTGGAGGAGGAACCTGAGGCAGCTTCATACCAAAGGGACCAGGGGGAGGTCAAAAGGAAAGCAGCCAGTTGAGGATGCACAGAGGTCATAAGGAGGCCAGCAGAAGGAAGAGACGTTCCTTGGCCTCTACCAGCCTGGGACTCAGGCCTCAGGTGGGTGTTAGAGAGGTGTGAGCATTCATGGGGCAGCATTGACTAGCCACAACCTCTTTTCTCAACTTTGGATTAAGTGCTGTGGGGATTCAGGGTTAGAACCTTGGTAGAGCATCCCGCCTCCATGCACTGTGGCTTAGACACAGGATGTTGAGAGCCAGGTGGTGTCAGCCAAGTGGTCACCACGTGTCCCAATCAGAGTGAGCATGGAAGGGGTTGAGGAAGATAGACATCGGAGTTTGTTTATTTATTTTGTTTTGTTTGGGTTGGATTATTTTGGGTTTTTTTACTTTTGGTGGGATTTGAAATTTTTGTGCTTTTATGAATTTATACTTTTCTGTGGTATTTCATGGCTTGGCTTCTGTGCCATTAAAAAATGAGGGTTTGAAGTTCTCATCCCTCTATCTTTACTAAACATTGCAAACATAGCTCAAGGAAATGTGGAAATGTGACTTTCTGAGTAGATCAAAGGTTTGTTGTTTTTTTTTTAACTTAACTCCTCTCAATTTTAAGTAATGTATATCAAACACAAATAGGACTGATGTTTTGTCAGATTCAGGCAGGAATACACCTTTCCTGTCTTTAATGCTTATAAACAATTGCTAGACATGCAGAGGGAGGCCAGAGTCATTACGCAGCTGAAGATCAACATCACGGCATGTCTGGGTCTGTCTGTAGATAAAAGAGGTTGCTTATTTACTGGGTTTTTTACTTGATGTAGTATCAGGTTATGCATAATTTATAATGAAAAGCCTTTCTCTCCTGGCTTTTTTTTTTTTTTTTTTTTTTTTGCTTTTGTCTTCTAAGACCAAATGAACAGTGGCTTTGGCCTTAGTGATATTACTGAGTGCATTTTAGATTTGTGTTAGGGTTGAGACTTAGGATAACTCTTGCTGTGGTTCATCTTGATTAATTGAGTCCTTGAAGTCTATGAATATCACAGAGATTAGTGTGAATTAAAGCAAGATAGATTTCTTATTCTTATTTTCAATTCATCATTATGAATTTATACTTCTCTGTGGTATTTGATGACTTGACTTCTGTACCATTAAAAAATGAGAGTTTGAAGTTTTAAGTTTTACTACTTTTAAAAGTGGATCCATTAGGGAATGTCTAAGTCTATTATCATCCATTTCCTCTCTGTTTCTAATGCCAGTGCTACCTAGCCATGGTAGATTCTCCTAAACAATTTCTGGAAAGAAATCATGGGAAAAAAATCATCAGAGCATAAACTGGTTGTTGAACTAGAGTCCACTGCCCAAAGCACCTCTTTAAACCTGGGGTTGCCTCGTGGTGGTCTCTCGAGTTACTCTTGCAGGACGTCCCTCTTATCATGCATTCCTTCATCAACCCAGCTATTCTGTGAATTCCTTTCTGGGAGAAACAGCTATGTCTTAGGCATCTTTGTCATCTCCACAATCGTTCTTAGAGTGCTTAGGGCAGATATGTGAATGTGATTTGGAAGAGCCTAAGCCCCTTTTAACTCCTCATCTCTGAGAGCCAGTGATATCTTGTGGATACACTTGGAATCCCTGACTTCTGTCCTGATGGCAGAGAGCAAAAGCCCCGGGAAATGAAACCACAGCTTGCTTTTAAAGAGTACAGTTAACATTCCCTGCCAGACATTTCTGGAGGTCCTAATAATTTTGGTTGGGTCATGAACCAACCAGTCAAACTGAACTATATTAAAATATAAACTAACTCAAAGGCAAATGAGCTATAGGACCAGCCTTGTTGATAGCCCAAGAAATGGACATGCTGTCATCTCTTCTTTCAGCCACATGAATAGAAGCTCCTTGAAGGCAGGAGGTTATTTTACTAATTCCAGCTCAGGATCCTGACACTTGTGGCATGTGTCAATCTTCCCTGACTAGCCAGTGAGTGCATGCTGGTGTTTGATTTCCAGCCTTCTACCTAAAAGTTTCCCACTCGATACATCTAAGGACACGGCCACTCATTGTAATTATTCTTAAGGTCCTTTTATCTTTTAAGAGATACCCCTAAATTAAGAAATTGTTGAGGCTACCTTTAGACAACACCCAATAAGCCTCTTATTGTAGGAGCACATGAGTCACAGAGAGGGAATAATAGACTTAGACATTCCCTAATGGATCCACTTTTAAAAGTAGTAAAACTTAATATCTACTTAGAAAATAAATGCAAGTTTGCTTCTTTATCTGAGGTGTCATTCATTTTAATGTCCTTTTGAAAGTCCCGTTTCCAATGTCTGCCAGTAGAAAAATTGTTCTCACTCTGTGAATAGAGATGCTCTGTTAATTTTCTGTCTTTTTCTGTTTTTGCCCCCCCTCACAGTGGAAAGGTGAAATCCAAGAATTTTGTCCCAATACTAAAATGCTCTTGGTCGGCTGCAAGTCTGATCTGCGGACGGATGTTAGTACACTGGTAGAGCTCTCAAATCACAGGCAAACACCAGTGTCATATGACCAGGTATGTATGTTGTCAGTGTGTAAAAGTAGATTTCAGAAAGAGTGAAAGAAATGGAATATCACTCATAATAAATTTTAAAAAAAGACTGTTTTTCTAAAGACTCAGCCAGTGGTCAACTATGGTATGTGAAATGCCCTGTCATTCAGTAGACTAATTACATGATATCTGAGTACATAAATGGTTGATCATATGCTACCCTTGTGTATCTCTGCAATCCCCTTGGTTTTTAAGTTTAGTAGTTTTAGAGAGAATGTAGTCAAAATCAATAGTTCTCTTTAAGAGAGGTACTCTTTTTTTTACACGTAGCAGCCCAATAGAATACTAAAACAGGCAGTTGCAGGTAAAGTAGACCAACTCCATAAAACAGTCTTTTAGAGATGCATCATTTCTACAGGGGTTTCCCATAAGTATTTAGAAAGGAAAACCAGTTCCAGAAGTTCATTCTCTAAAGCCCACAGTCAGATTCTAAAGAGAATTTGTGTTGAAATAGCTAGAATGACATTTAGTACTCATCACTTAAAATACTATAATCTAGGACTGTGGATGTAGCTCACTGGAAGAGCACTTGCCCAGTATACCCAAGGCCCTGGGTTTGATCTTCAGCACCACAAAAGAGTAAAAAAAAATACTCTCATCTTCTTCATCTATCATTTTGATTATGCATACATGCTTATTATTGTGTATATTGCTAGAATCAACCACATTTAGAAACTAGCTATTTTACGTTTCATAAAGTAACTGATGTCAAAGTACTACGAATCCTTTTCTCAACTTATTTTGGCCCTAAAACCCAAACACAAACTTACTCTATTTGAAATTGATTTTAAATTCCTTCATTGTCCTTGTGTTTTGTACAACCTGTTGACTAGCTTCAGCTGCCACTCATAGTCAGGAAGAGTTTTAGAAAGCAAGTTCCCATGAGGGCTTTAGAGGCTATGTTGCCCCTGCCAGAGCTGTGTGGAAAGTGCAAAGTTTGGGTTCGTGATCTTGCGCTGACTTGTTCTAGTAGTAAGCTTCTATGCTTTTCTGTAAACCCTGGAAGAACCTATGAACCAGTGACTCTTAACTACATTTGATAGGATGACTCGTCCCCTCCTTAGCTCCTCTCCTGCTTCACCATTAAGTATTTGCTGATCGGAGCCTTCATCTCTTAGTGACCCAGTGATGTTGGATTGGCCTTTAGCACCATGGGGAGCTACAGCAGTATCTAGTGACAATTGAGTATCTCAGAATTGGATCTTGACTGCAAATATTTATGAAGTAATAAAGTCGTTCAGTTTTAAAAAAGCATTTTTATTTTTTTGTAAAGACAGTTGGAAAATTCCATTGACGGTAGAAAACGTTTGACAATGCAGGATTGTTGTGTGTTCTCAGAAGATACTTTGTAAGTTTCCTCCAAAGTCTTATTGCTGATTAAAATCCCTTCTTTTGCTTCTCAGGGGGCAAATATGGCCAAACAGATTGGAGCGGCTACTTACATTGAATGCTCAGCTTTACAGTCAGAAAATAGCGTCAGAGACATTTTCCACGTTGCCACCTTGGCCTGTGTAAATAAGACAAATAAAAACGTTAAGCGGAACAAATCACAGAGGGCCACAAAGCGGATTTCACACATGCCTAGCAGACCAGAACTCTCTGCAGTTGCTACGGACTTACGAAAGGACAAAGCAAAGAGCTGTAGTGTGATGTGAAACTTGCATTATCTTTAAGGAGGACAAAGGAATCTAGTGTAAAAAAAAAAAAAACAACGTGAGCAAAACAAAAAAGCTGAAGTCGAGTGAAGTGCACAGCCAAAGTCACGTGTCCCACAGGCTAGAGGCCCCTGCAAGGGTGTGCCCCTCTTTTTGGAATCCTGTCCTTAGGTTCGGCATGTAGACCGAGTGGTGAGAAGTGAATACTTTGAAGAGTTTTGAAGTGTGACTTGAAAAATATGCCAAAAAAGTGAGATTCAAATGCTCTGGAGGTAGAGGAGGAGGAATGCGAGTACCACCAAGAAGAAAAATCACACTCTGAATGGTGCTTGCGGTTTTTTTGTTTTGTTTTGTTTTTTGGCTTTCTTTTTTTTTTTTTTTTTTTTTGGTTGTTGTTGTTGTTGTTCCAATCTATTCATGGATCTCTACTTTGATTTAATTTTTAAACGTTTTAATCTCCTTTACAAAAGTATATCTTAATATACCGTCCTCGTTGGGGAACTGGCACTGTGACCTTAGCGTTTAGTTTTCTAGAGGATGTGATCTAATTTCCTCTTAGCTCATCATTAAAATGGAAATTGTATCGGGACCCGTGGGATTCCAGAGGAAAACTTCATGAGGCTTTGAAATCTTGCCTTCCTGAAGATGGCTGATGAGCGAGATGGTTCTAAAGAAAGGCTTTCGCAGCCTTGCAAGATGTGTAGACCGGCACTGCACAGATTGCATAGATCAAATAGAAAAAAGTGTTGATTTTTTATTCAGTCGGATGGTTCTGTTCATCATTGTGATTGTCATTAACAAGTGGTAAATTGCTCAATGTAATATTTTTGTGTGCTGTTTAGAAAAGAGGGTGTGTGATTTTTTTTTTGGTTTTGTTTTGTTTTTTGCCAACTTTGATAAAAATGCAAAGTCAAATAAAAGTTGTCTTGGTTTGATGTCATAGAATGATCCAAGGGAGAAGTATAGGTACTATTTTCACCAGGAGAGATAATGAAGGAATAGTAACAGAAAGCACAGTTTGTGAGTAAAGCTGTCTGGAACAAGTTACCAAATATACAAAGCAAAAGGACAATTTGGGGATGAAGCTCCAAAATTGGGCAGCCTCTAATGATCTGCATTTTCTTTCACTTTCTTTGAATGAACCTCAGTTTGAGAAGGACCCACTTACCCAAGCTTTAGAGAATCCCTAGTAGAAAATTATATAATGTCAGTCCTGACGTAACACTATGCTGTTTCTAGACTGTGATGGGTAAACCTCACTTAACCAGATTCAGCCAGGGTCCATATTCAAAACTTGATTGTTGATACATAAAATAATAAGCATTTAAACCAGTTTACAGATATTTTCTTGACCAGTTCCTTTTAGAGATTCTTTCAGAGAGTAAACCTGATTGAACCTGTTTGTTGTTGGCGCTTGTTGAAAACAAGCTTTCCTTCCAATGATATAATACTTCATTTTTGAAGTGTTGAAGCTGTGCTCCCATTAAATTGTGGCAGGAGAGGAGATTAAGGTAATTACAACACTCAGTTCTGTGTCTTACAAGCACTTTGTTTTGTCTCTGCAAGAAAATACCATTCCAGTCATTTCCCACGAAATACAGACATTTTACCAACATAATATATGCTTTGATTGATGCAGCATTATGCTTTGGGCAGTATTACAAAATAGCTGGCAAGTGCTTTCTGTATTTAAATATTGTAAAAAGAGAATAAGTTATAACTGCTATAAAGCAGAACTTGCGTTGCATTTTTTTTTTTTTTTTAATGTTGAAGTCACTTTGTACGTTTGTTTGGTCAATGTTTCCGCAGTATTTATTAAACATACTTTTTTTTTCCTTCAAATAAAAAAGTAACCATGTCTTTGTCTAAATGTGTTCTGTCTTTACTTAATCCACTTCCTGATTTTGTAGTTTAGCTTTGTTCTTTAGTCTAGAGATGATTACAGAATCTGTCCTAACTTTTCCTGAATTAGTTGGATTTGGGGACAGTAGTCCTTTCTCAGAGAACAATAAATCTTCATGTATATAAGAGATTTTCATTATAATTTCAAATGACAAGAAGTAAACAGGGCTAATGCTTAGACTGAGCAATTTGATCAACAGAACAAGTCATGATACTGCCTAGAATTATCTTGAAGAAAGTACAGAAATTCAATGAAGTTCAGAATAAAACAGTATGACATGGTCTCAGGTCACAGGTTGAATTCTAATGTGTGAGCCTGATTGCTACTCTCTCCTCTGGGGTCCAAAGTCTTGGTCCTTCACCCAGCCATCTGCCTTGCAAGGTATTCTCTTATTCACAACAGCCAGATGCACCCATGACCCAAGACCCTGCTATTGTGACAAATAGTTGAAGGGAAGAAAAAAGCAAAACAAAAACTATCTGTTTATGGTGGTAGCATTTTTTAAAAGCACAGAACAACATACAATCTTTCCCACTGACCCAAAAAGTGGAAAGTAAGCATGGAAAAGCTTGGGATAGAGGGAAGCCAGGGTCCCCACAAGCCCAGTTGATGCTCAGTCTTCAGCTAAAATTCTTGCCTATAAATTTTACATAAATGTACAAAGATAGTCCATGTGGGACTTTAAAACTTTGATTCTACACAGCGAAGACACTTCATATAAAAACTGCATCTTTGTGGTTTTTTTTTTTAATTTTTTTTTTTTTTAGTGGCTTTAGAAATCTTTGAGATATAGTTACTTGCTTGGAAATAATTCCCAGAAGCACAAAACAAAGGGAAAACCAGAGCATCCAGGATGAATGAACAATTAAAAGAGGACTGGCATTAAGGAATAGCCATGTTAAAAAAAAATTTTTTTTAAAGCAAGGGTTTACTGGATATATTTTTAACTCATTCCCATCATCAACTAGTAAAGGAAATAACAGTACTTTCCAAATCCTTGGTGTTGGGTAACTTCTAAACATGACATCTAAGTTTCTTAACAATCGTTACCACAAAAAAAAAAAAAAAAAAAAGAAGGAAAAAAAATAAGCTGAGGTTCTGCTGACCTTGGCAGTATTTTAGTATTTTATAGATTGTGCAGTAATGTTTCTCTCTGGTCAATTGTTTCTCAGCAGCTTTAATTTGTTAAAGAGGAAAAAAAAAAAAAAAGAAAGAAAGAAAAAGCCTTCAGCCCTGGGCATGTATGCTTTCCTTTGCTCTGACTTTCTGCCTTTGCAAACATTTCTTCTATGTATTCTGTGAACATTCCTTTCTGTTGATAAATGATCATGATTAATGCCTTTTTAAATACTAAAAGGTGGTTTTCATACTCTTGAGTAAGACTTCAGCTGTATCTCTTTCACCTCTATTAATCTTTTCCAGGAATAGTTGCATGAGAAGATTCTAGTCTTAGAGGGAATGTGTCTTAAGTGTAAACTTAGAAATAACCAGGGAATTTTATTTTATCAAAAGGAATTTTTTTTTTAATGACCTCATTCTCTAAGGCTCCTGAAACTAAAAGCTGCTTACCCTCCTTCTGACGGATGGACATCAGCATTCAGTTCTAAACCATTCAATTCTTATTATTTTTCCATTCACCAAATATTTATTAATTGCCTATTACCTGTCTAGCACTGTTCTAGATTTGGCATTTAATCTTGATTTAAGCATAATCTCTGAGCCAGGAACATTTCATAATCTAGGACAGTCACAAACCACAGTGCATCCTGTCAGGTTTTGATTTCCACTGGCATTAAATGAGTCATGGATATTGAGTTGGTAGCAAATATTTCAATATGGAAGAAACAAAAGCAATAGCCATATTAAACATCTTTATAATTCAAAAACAGTATTGTATATTTTAGTAAATCCTAAAGCCTAGAGTCCAGTGTTGCCAGTCATCATTGCAGTATTTGTACAATAATCACAGGTTTCCAAGGCCAGTTTGGTAGGAGAAAAAGTGTGTCACAACTGAGTACAAGTAGCCCTCTCAAATGGGTGTTTGTTACATGTGCTATACTTGCTATATAGATCTGTACTTTCTCAACTACTGAGTAAACTGGAAAAGAGAAATTGAAATAAAGTTTGGCATAAGTAAAATAAAATTCTATTATAAAGTTGAAATTCTAATTCTCAGAAGATGACAAAAAAATCAAAGAAATTATAAATATTTTAGTCAAAGGTAGAGAAACCATTGTTTATATAACACTGAAAATATTTATTTTGTAACAGTAAAACATCTTTTAAAAACAATCCATTCACAGTGAAGTCTAAGGCTGTTACATGTCTCTTCAACCTGGGAATACAGGATACAAGATCTAATGAATCCCAAAATGAAAATTTACAGGACTTTCAAGCCAAATCCTCTTTGAGACTTTTACTTTCAAATTTTGTTTCTTTGAAGGAAACTGTTAGTACCTGTCTTCTGTGGTCACCCAGTGGGCGTCTGTTTTAAAAAAGCTAAATGAAAAAAAAAAATAGTCCACAATGAGAAATTTAAACTAGATGGATATATGGTCAATCCTACTGCCAAAGTAATAGCTAACATTTAAATTGCACAAATAGGTTCTAAGCACTGTTCTAAATGGTTCACATGACTCCCTGGTCTCCCACCACAAAGATGCAGCAAGTTAAGTACCAACAAGCTCCCGGTATTGCACATGGGAATTCAGACTTCTCCAGATCATGTTGGGGGACCCAGGATCAGAACACAGGCATGCTGTTTGGGTTGGTAATTCCATGCTCTACCACACCATCTTGTCACGGACAAAACCTTCCTGAGTATGTTGTGATATCCTCTGCACAGTCAGCTGAACACCAGGCCCAATGGTGCTTTCTGAGCTGCAATTTGGACAAATCCATCCTGACCTCCCAAAATCTTCACCAGCGTGAGTCCTCCTGATTCCGACTAGGTTCTGACTCCTGGCCCCTGTGCCCACTCTTCCTTCACCTTTTGTTTTCCCTGATGATGGGGCAGTGAAAGAATTATGAGGTGACAATGAAAGGACACAAGAACGGTGGACACATGTGTCCGTCCATAATCCAGGGCTTCTTGAACTCTACTAGAACCCAAAGTTTCCACAGCAATAGCCTAGAATCCTTCAACCCCAAAATGAATGCTGTGGAGGCCAGGATTAAGATGAATAATAGAAAAGAAAAAGATTTGACA